TAAGAATATATTTAAAAATAATAATAATATAAAAATAAAATATAACCTTATCTGCCAGAACGAAAAATAAGGTACAACCAACCTAATTGAACAATGGGCACAGGATTTGAATAGACATCTTTCCAAAGAGGACATACAAATGGCCAAAAGACACATGAAAAGACTAGAGGCCCACTGCACAAATTTTGGTGGCTGGCCAGGGGGAAGGGTTGTGGGCAGTTAGTGGGCCGGCCCTGCTCCGCCCCTTGGTCATACTTCTAGTCGAACTTCTGGTAGAGGGGACAATTTGCATATTAGCCTTTTATTATATAGGATATTCAACATTGCTAATTATTAGGGAAATGCAAATCAAAACCACAAAGAATAGCTATTAGCAAACATAAATAAGAAATGCTAGGGAGGTTGTGGAGGAAAGGAAAACCTTGTATACTATTGTATATTAAGACTAGAACTACCTTATGACCCAGCAATTCTACTTTTGAGTATTTGTCCAAAGAATATGAAAACACTAATTTGAAAAGATATATATGTACCCCTATGTTTATTGCAACATTATTTATAATAGCCAGGATACGGAAGCAACCCAAGTGTCCATCAGTAGATGAGTGGATAAAGAAAATGTGGCATTTATACACAATGGAGTATGACTCAGCCTTAAAAAAGAATGAAATCTTGCCATCTGCAACAACATGACTAGACCTAGAGGGTATTGTGCTGAGTGAAATAAGTCAGATGGAAAGACAAATACCACATGAGTTGGAATCTAGAAAACAAACATATAAACAAAGGACCAAAAAGCAAAATAAAACTAAAACAAACTCATAGCTACAGAGAACAGATCTGTGGTTACCAATTGGGAATAAATGAAAGAGAAAGAGGAAATCAATTATATGGTCATGGATGGTAACTAGACTATTTGGGAGTGATCACTTTGTAGTGCATACAGATGTCAAATTATAATGTACAGCTGAAACATATAATAAAAATAATTTTGAAAAGAAAGAAAAATATGGTATATGCATTGCCCCATTTTAAAATGTTGACAGTACAGGAAATATAGCAGTTGGGAAATCGCTGATATAAATGTGAATTGACTTTTTGTGTTTATGTTATGCCAGTGCCTTTGTGGGTGCAGAATGTTCCTTCCTGCTGCTTCTGGGGGGGAGGAGGGGAGAGCTTAGTGGCCTGTGCCCCAGAGGGAGGGCCCAGACAGGGCCTGGCGGGCCTGGACTGACATTTGCTCACTCTCTAGAGCTGAGGCCAGGTAGAACACTTCTCCCATTTGCTATGGTTTTCTTAAGCATTCCTTTTTTTTTTAAATATATTTCATTGATTTTTCACAGAGAGGAAGAGAGAGGGATAGAGAGTTAGAAACATTGATGAGAGAGAATCATCGATCAGCTGCCTCTTGCACACCCCCTACTGGGGATGTGCCCACAACCAAGGTACATGCCCTTGCCCGGAATCAAACCCAGGACCTTTCAGTCCACAGGCCGACGCTCTATCCACTGAGCCAAACCGGTCCCGGCTTAAGCATTCCTTTTTGAGGAAAAATAATCTAAGGGTACACACACATATTCATACTCTGTTGAGGGGAAGGAGAAGCTCCCTCACTCCTGCGGCTTTGCTGACTGTATGGCTGCTGTGAGTAAGCCCAGCTGCCATCAAGGTGCTGGGCCATCTCTGGGTTTCAGCTCACGCAGGCAGAGTCCTCACAGGAAGGACTCCTCATGCCCACAGGGGGATCGCCGCGACCAAGACTTGTATAGTCTTGGAGTACGAAGATGAACACCATATGGTGTGGCTTGGTTAGACCCACCCACCATCCTTTCTGGGAGCTCTCTGGAGGTCAGGAAATGGCTGGCCCTGGTTCTGGTCTGGATGGAGAAGGAGGGGTTGGAGATGTGCTGGTCCACAAGGAGGCCAGCACAGACTGAGGAGGAAGAAAAGGAAGGGCACCTGGGCAATACAGTTATGGGGCTGTTTGCTGAGCCCGATGAAGGATATCTTGGCTGAAGTGCCCTCTGTCTGCCCAGTGGATTCCCTCTGGGTGGTCACCAGCAGCAGCAACAGCATTGTTGGGTGAGTGTGGAACATGTGGCCAGGTGTTCCCTCTGGGTGTCAGCAGCAGGCATTATTGGAACACGTGCAGGCCGTGCTTTTTTTCTGAGTTAGCAGGCTGGCTTGCTTAGTCCAGAATGTCTCCCAAGTTCTTTGTGTGGAAGCAAATACACAATGAGGAGCAGGAATAGGGAACCTGTGTTTATGGAAGCAGCTTGTGGTGAGATGGTGCCTCAGGCTATGCTTCTGCTTAGCCTGAGGCATCTCAGGGTGGAGCAATATCAGGACCAGAGTCCTGGGTATTTCCCACTGTGGAGGAGGGCGTTTAAATGGTCAGGGTTTGGGCTTATGTCATTAGCTTCCCTGGAAATAACCCCCCACTCCCTACACACCAAAGCAGTAGTGAGCACGCCTGCCTCCTGGCTTTTCTTGGAAAAGACATTTCTAGGAATGCCTGCTTGGCTTGGCTTCGTGCCTAAAATGTTATGAGTCAAGTTTCCTGGTAGGGCTCTGAGCAGGCATTTTATTGGCATTGTTGCGCCCCTGGGCCAGGCACCCTGGGCTCTGCAGGGTGCACAGGAGCCCTCCTAGGCTCCTCTGCACTTGCACTGGATACAGTCAGAGCTAGAGGAGTAAGGGTCTGGGTTGGGGGGCAGGGACAGAGTAAGGGCCCATCCTCAGCCCCTCAGTTCCTTTACACACTGTCTCTAGGCCCTGGCAAGCTTGGATTTGCACTCCTGACCACACCCATACCCCCACCTCTTATTCTGAGATGTGACAAGGCTGCTCTTGAACCCAGGTTACACTCCACAGTGCTTAAGACCTAAGTTCCATTGTGCAAATACTTGGGGACGTGCAAGTATAAAAACTGGATATACTAAGGTGTTCCCACTCTGAAGTTTCAGCAAAAGGATTTGTGTGTCACCTTTGCAAGATCTTGATGATTGCCGTAGCACCCACCTTGTCCCCAGACAGCAAGGCCTGCCTGCCTGGTGGAGCATTGTTAACTCCTGTGCCACTGGATGCTTTTGCAGTACTCCCAGGCAGTCTGTGGTTTATGCTCTAAAGCAGTTGTCATTTATTCCTATATGTGCTCTTCTCTTTCTGGTTTCTTTCTTCTTCCCTGCTGTCTTATCCCAGATGCAGCTTTCCCATAAAGGACAGGCCGGACCACAGGCTGTGGCCTGGGAGGCTTCTTCAAATCCCCTAGATGTCCCTGTGTGGCTGGCCTGGTGACAATTGCGTGCACACTCCAGCTACACCCTTAGCCACTAGCCTCCAGTCAGGGGTGGGCCTGGCTTCTGATCTGGCTGTCAGGCTCGGCTCTACAGTCAGACCCACCTTCCCCTGTCCTGTCTCCCCTGTGCAGTGGCTTCCAGAGGGGGACAGGGCACACTGTGTAAACCACGAAGCCGATTGCAGACAGCAGCCTGTAGCCACTCCTAAGCCAGAAGAGTTGGCTCCATATGTTTAAAACAGTTGAATTAGTTGCTGATATCAGGAAGATTGTATTTGGCTGTAGGTAACAGAATATCTCATTGACAGCGCTTTAAGTTATAAAGATACTTAACTCCCTGACCCAGAAGTCTGAAAATGGGTGCTCCCAGGCCTGGGTAGCAACACCTTGATGTCCCCCTACCATCCTGTTACCTATCTACTCAGAGGCTTGTCCCCTGTGGCCCCAGACATCTGATACAGTTCTAGGCAGGTGCTTACTTCCAGCGCCCTGGCAGGAAACCTGGGATTGCGATAGCTTTCCTTTTATCAGGAGGAAAACTTTCCCAAAAGTCTCCACCATAAGCTTTCCCTACACTTTTCAGCCAGAAAATGAAGAGAAGAGGGGATTCTGAAGACTGGGCTCGCTGCTGCCCAGTGAAGTCAGTGCAGCGGAACCTGCTCCGCCCCCTGCAGAGCCTGAGGGTTTCGCTGCATGCTCCCCATTGTTGGGTTTGCTTGAGAAATGGAAGACTGAGCACTGAGCCCTCATCAGCCTACAGCGCCTGGCCTTTGGGCTGGTTTCCTCCTGGCCTCCTCACCCCATGCTTACACCCCTCCACTCTCCTCTCTGGCTCTGAGGACTCTCAGCACCAACACTCAGATGTCAGGATTCCATCAGGAAACTTTCCTTGCCCACTTTATACCAAGCCAGTCTTTGGCAGTAGAGTTACAATGCCGAGTCACTTTGCAGATTTATGCCTGTCCCAGAGTGGCTAGGCTTCTGCACCTAACACACAGAACTTCTCTGCAGTCAGTGCCTGTGGCAGTCATCGCACTGCACCTGGATTTCCACTTCTAACTAGATGCATGGCAGCAAAGCTGAGGGTCAGAAGTGAGGGTCATGGCTTATCGTCCTAGAGAACTTTAGAGTCCATGGAGCATGTTGGCATGTAAAACATTATTCCCACTAACAGCAGAGGTTAAGGGGAGCTAAGGGGCTTTCCTGAGGCCACGCAGCCACGAAGCTGCTGAGTGGGTAGGCGTGGGAGCCGCAGTTGTCATTCCCACACAGCTCTTCTGTCACACAGTTGGGACAGGAGGAGGCCGGTGTGGAAGACTTACTGGTTATTCATTGTCAGAAGTGCAATAGCTTATTTGACTTAGGGAGCCTGCATAACGTGGGCATCTCCCTCACCAAAGTGGCTGTGGGATTTCCGGTGTGCTGCCGAGCATCAGGGGGCCAGACTGACCGTGGGTCTGGGCAGAAGCCACCCACCATGACCACCAGTCAGTGGCAGTAGAGAAATTCCAAGCAGCCCAGATGTGGGCAGCACCTGGCCTCAGTCCCCTAGGTCTCAGGGCATGTGATGGGCGCTGACACTCAGGCAGCTCTGCCCGACAGTGTGGCTGGAAAGCTGTATGGCTGAGACCTAACAAACCTCAGGTGGATTTGTCACCATGTGTTGAATACATGAATGTCACTTCTCTCTTTCTCCCCTCAGGACAAGACATTTCAAAGAAAGTATTAAATTCATTCACGAGTGCCGGCTCCGGGGAGAGGGCTGTCTTGTCCACTGGTATGTATGCCTCTTGCCTGATAGCCATTCAGCTTGGTTGATCCTCAGGGCTTCCCTGTGTACAATTAATTATTTTATCTCCTAATGATATTTTTCCTCTCTCAAAACCTCAGACACATACTCCACTTGAGTTTCCTCTTTGTTCAACACTGTTGGCCTTTGTTGAGAGAGAACCCTAAAACTTAGGATTTTCATCTTCACAGGTAGGACTTCTGTAGGGACTGTCAGGCCCTTGGACAGCAGAGCCTTTGTGGCCAACCTCTGCCATTCCATCAGAGCAGCCTCCATGGAGGGCACAGACTGTAGGCTCGTTCCTGACCCCTCAGGGTCTTTCAGAGTAGTACAGTTCCTTCCACAGAGCTGTGATCATGTGTACGGTGCATAGCACTGCGTCACTGTAGCACCAGAGTGGCGGCTCCCTCTCCATTTAGGTTGGGACTTTGTGTGTGTTTGGCTTTGAAAGGATCTGAATAGACTTAGAATTAAGCAGTTACATACACTGTGCCCCTGGATTCGGCTGTACTCTGGGTATGGATATATGTACATACTGATACATGCATGTGTATACACACTGCAGAGTAAGGGACTGGGACAGGTGGAGCTGAAGGACAGCACACGGAACCTGGCACAGTGTGAGCTCTTCCAGGTTCTCCCTTCACTCTCTCATTCTTCTGTCTTCATCTGGCAGCATCACTAACCAGTGTGGGATCCAGCAGCCAGCGTCTGGAGCCATGCTTGGTGTCAGAGTGCAGGTTGAGTACCTGCCTCTCTGCCTTGAATGAGGCACGATGTTGGCCAGCAGCTCAAGTCCCTGTTGCAGTGAAGCTGTCTGGAAATACACAGTGGTGCCACTACTGAAGTGGGGGGCAGCCCTGGTAGTAGAGGGGGTCCAGTGCACAGTGTCCACAGGGGTCATTCATGAGAACTGTCATTTGTTCTAAGGGCCAGGAACTCGTCATGGGGGAGTAGGAACATAGATAGTTTGATTGCTTAAAAAGAGTGTTCTGCAATTTTATATAGTCCTTGAAATAGTGTGCTTATTTATTTCACTTTTAAAAAGAGTAAGATATGTTATAAATACAAATGGTGGGTTTTATAGCATTGTTTGCATTTTCATTAAAGCACTTTGGGGCCATAGCTGGTTTGGCTCAGTGGATAAAGCATCAGCCTGCGAACTGAAGGGTCCCGAGTTCGATTGCGGTCAAGGGCACATGCCTGGGTTGCTGGCTTGATCCCCTTAGTGGGTGTGCAGGAGGCAACTGATCAATGATTCTCTCTCATCATTGATGTTTCTATCTCTCCCTCTCTCTCCCTTACTCTCTGAAATCAATGAGAAATATGTGTGTGTGTGTGTGTGTGTGTGTGTGTGCGCGCGCGCGCGCGTGCGTGCATGCTTTAATGAAAATGTGCTCTAATGAAAATGCAAAAATGCTATCACTTTAAGGAGTGCAGTTGGAACTCCTTTCTTTACTTGGACTCTAGGGTTCCAGGTTACAGCTCAAGAGGATGTATTTTTTAAAAGCTTTCATCATTTCTGAGATAAAGCCTTAGGGAAGAGACATCACATCAAAGTGCTTTATTAGTGTTATTACCGTATTGTTAATATTATTTATATTTAACTATCTGTAGGTCTCATGGTCTAGGAATTTATATTTTATACAGCTGTGCAAATCTGAATATAGGCTTTTCTCAAAATGAGAAATGTGCTAAACTTCCCCATCAGAAACCGTTACTAGAACACTCCGACTCTGACGCAGCACAGCCTTTCCTTGACCACCTTACTTTGCATATGCATTTACAATAGGTCCGCTACTCAGCCTGCTAGAGACACGTAACCCTTATGCCCACAGAGCATACACCATGGCTCAATTTCAGAGCGTGTGTGTGTGTGTGTGTGTGTGTGTGTGCGCGCGCGCGCACGTGTGTGTGCTCTCAGGTCCTCTGCCTGGTTATGTCCGTGGTTGAGGGATTTCCAGGTAGCATATTGGCTTGCTGTCCATGCTCAATCCAAGGCAGGAAGACTCTAAAATCGGGTCCATAGAGTCCTTACTCTAAATGGATCAGAAGGTAGACTGCAGACCCTAAACCTTCCTTGCCCACGGGCCATTCTCTTGGCCCCACAGCCTGGCCGGTGTCTCCAGGAGTGTGACTCTGGTGATCGCGTACATCATGACCGTCACTGACTTTGGCTGGGAAGATGCCCTGCACACTGTGCGTGCAGGCAGGTCCTGTGCCAACCCCAACCTGGGCTTCCAGAGACAGCTCCAGGAATTTGAGAAGCATGAAATGCATGAGGTAACTGTGCCCCGGGGACTCGGGAGGTACGCAGAAGAACCTGGGAAGGTGCCTGTCTTTCCACACACTCCTGGAAGCGTGGAGGTTGAAGTTAGAGAGGCCCACAGAGAACATCTGGTCCAAGGACACCTCACCTGCACCCCACATGAAGTCCTCCCTGGTTCCTTGTTCACTAGCTGCAGCCACAGTATATCATCCTTTACCATCTTCCTTGGGCCCTGTGTACTTCATTTCTCTCCCTGGGGGTCAAGTGCCATTTTTCTAGGTTTGGCTGATGTTCATGCCAAAGCCTTGAAGAAGCAATGATTTATCTTCTTGACACTGCCTGACCAACCACAAAGCTGTGACTGCCCATGCCCATGTATTTCCCAGTTTGTATGTAACGTATAAAAGTCTTTCATGCATGTTGGTGTGTGTGTGACGTTTGCTTTTCTTTTCAACTTCTTCAGTACCGGCAATGGCTGAAGGAGGAGTATGGAGAGAACCCTTTGAGGGACGCAGAAGAAGCCAGGAACATTCTGGGTAAATATAAAGAGCTGGGGCGCACGGAGGCCCCATCCGGCGCCTGGAGAGAGAGCAGCTTTCAGGCCCTGTCTCCTCTGGCCTACAGCAAGTACCCTACGGAGACCTAACACTGCGACCTGGTGCCTGCCTTTATGCCAGGCGCCTGGTGTGCTGGGAGCCACCCCACCTCGGAGGACAGGAGGGAAGGGTGGCGAAGAAGGTGGATCCAGGCTCCTACCCAGGACCTCCCCAGCCTTGCCTCAGGCCCTTCCACACTGTCTTCCCAAAACTTCTGCACTGTCTGGAGGCTGCTTGCTTTCCACACTGTCACTGCTCTATGAGGGTCAGTGTGCATGCGTGTGTGTGTGTGTGTGTGTGTGTGTGTGTGTGTGTCTGCATGTGTGAGTGTGTGAACAGTGCTGAGCACTCAGTCCACTCTGCCAGCTGCTACCACCCCCTTTCTTTTGTCCAGTGCTCCAAGGGAGGGCTTTCCTGTCAGCATCTGCAGTGCTGCGTAGCCAGAAGCCATCTTTGTCTGAGAGCATGCACTGAGAACTCGGGGCAGTCGCTGAAGGCAGCAGCCCCCAGTATGCAGGTGGCTGTGGCAGGGCAGCAGGTGGCCAGACTTCCTCTGATATGGCTTCAGGGGCTTGGAAGGTGGTGGCAGTCAGAGTTCTGACCATTGCCAATGAGAGTGCCCCAGGCCTGGACTTCCTGCTGTCTCAAGTCAGGTCTCCTTGCAGCCCATCATGTCCCCAGGTTCTGCGTGGTATTTGTTCTCTCTGGCACCCACTGCATTTTAGTCTCATGGGGAGCACTACCAATTCAGCCAAAGCTGTGTGCTCAGAATGTCCTGCCTTCCTCTTCCCCTCCACTTCACTCTCTCCCAACCACTTGCTGTCTCCCTCTACAAGGGGGGCTCTTTGAAAGGCTTGCCAGCACCTTTAGGTATTGGGAAGAAAGAACATTTATTAGGCATTGTAGCAGCTTGCATTTAAAAATACATTTTTAAATGTGCACTTAGTGCGCACCTTTGTGTATGCGGTGGATTTTATCTTTGATCTCAGCTACCTCATTAAATGTTTTTTGAAAAGGTGTTTTTCGTGGTTCCAATCAACTCTGCCTCATAGTTGAAGATGTTCGGTCGTGATTGTTTTCTGAAGCCAAAGGGAAAAGCATCAGTGTCACTGAGCTATTTAAAGTTTATGATTTGGGCTCCAATAATGCTTTCTGGTGGGTAAAATTCCACATCCAGGCCACAGCCAGCAGGCAGCAAAGCACCTATAGCTGCAGCGTGAGCCAGCGGGCATGTTTCTGTACCCCAGCCTTTGTACCAGCTCCAATGCTTCAGCGCGCGGAGCCATGGAATGGAAACCTATCCCTGGTTTCTCCCTAAGGAGGTACGGCACTCTCTTTCTCTAATGCTGCCATACAAGGAGTCTGAGTAAGAGGTGTTCCGTGCTTTGCAGGGTGTGTCACAGGTGAGTTTATGGGGGATCAGGACAGTGACATCTCCCAACTCCACAGGTGTACAGGCCCCAGGTATTCAACAAGAAACATGGCCTTGGACTTCCTACATACAGATGAGACAATTTGCCTATGAAGTACATTTATTGTATTAATAAATATGTGAACTAGAAAGTATTGAAGATATCAGATTGAATGCTTAAACATATGTACATTTATGAGCATCAAAATATACTCCTATAGGTCTTGATATGTTGTCTTACTATTTGTTGCCAGCGCTGTTCTTTCTCCGCAGCCACACCAGGCGTTCTGAAGTACTGGGCCTTTCTCAGAAGACTGTAACACACCTGAAGTCGGAAATGCTGCAGAGCCACCGAGCTTAGTCTGGTGCTGCCAAAAAGAAAACCTAGAGTTTAAATGTCCAGAACTGTTTTGTGAACTTGTCTGTTTGTTTTTTTAAGTGGAGTACCTATGTAATCGTGTTGTTACATGTTGAGCACTGAGGACACTCTTTAGCGAGAGGACCTGTTTTTTTTTGTGTGTGTGTGTGGTTTTTTTTGCCTTAATTCCAGCACTGCAGCGATGCCTTGACCACAATCTTGGTGCCTGGGCAGCGGTCTCGGCAGTCTTGCTGCCATCCTGACTGTAGCCTCTGGTCACGTGCTTCAATCTCTCAGCTGGCATATCTCTCTTGGTGTGTCTTACCCATGGTTTGTGTTCTCCGTGGTGACATTTACCAACAACTACACACTTTTGTTAATAAAAGGTAGTGTAGCCTCATTTAATTTTGTGTTCAGAGCATCCTTCCTTAGCTAAGGCATGGGTGGTGCGTGTTCCTGCCTGGGAGGGCCATGAAGCAGGTTTGGAGCCTGCTCCTCCAGCACAGATGCTGACTTTATTTTAGAGGCTATTTTCCACTGGGGAAAGTGCAGCAGGCACTAGGAAATGTGAACTAATTTCTACATGGGATTTACTATGAAAGCAAGAAGTTCAGAAACAGGAGCTGTGTATTGCTGCAATTTAAGTTGACTTCCTACATTGTCCTTGTTTAAATCGGTTGGGGAGTAGGGGTTTCTGGGTGTAACTTTTTACTTCAGGTTTGGCTTGAACTGCAGGCAGGTGTGCATGGGCCCCAGACTACTGGCTTGCCGTATATTCCAAGTTACTGCTTCCAGGGCATGGAAGCTCCTGATGGGGCTGGGCGTGCTGAGAGCTGTGTTGGGCTATTTTGGAAACAGCCCCTGATGGGTGAGATGACATGGCATTGATTAGTTTGTGGCATATATGTTCTGACTCAGCAGGCTTGCCTAGGTGCACCACAAGTACTTCTGAGACCTCCCAGGTGTCAAACCTCTGTTAAAATAGTATTGGCGTCCTAGTGGATAAAGAGTTGTCCTGCAAACTGAAGAGTCCTGGGTTCCATTCTGGTCAAAGCACATGCCTGGGTTGCGGGCTCGATTCCCAGTAGGGGGTGTGCAGGAGGCAGCCAATCAATGATTCTCATCATTGATGTTTCTATCTCCCTCTCCCTTCTTCTCTGAAATCAATAAAAACATATTTTTAAAAAAAATTAAGATAATTTGACTATGCTTAGATGTTAGAGGCAGAGACCTCGTTTCTGCCCTGGTCAGGCCCAGTGTTGAGGTCACACTTCAGATGGGGGAGTAGTGGACTCCTGTTGCCCCAGGGCCTTGGTTTGTGACACAAGATGGTTGTGACCTGGGCAAGTTTTCATAGGCTATTTTTTCTGCCACTTCCTTTTGTATAGATCCTTTCCAGCCTGAAATTCAGAACCATGACCTACAGTGAATGTGATTTAACTGGGTCACCTGCTCTAATCTCCACTCCATCCATGTATCTGCTCATGTACTCCACTCACCAACACTATATTCAGGTTTCTGCTCACTCACTCCACTCCATTCAGGTATCTGTTGATAAACCCTCTCTGCCAAATGTGATTCTTTTACCTAAATCATGTTTTTCAGAGTACTGTAACTAACCCTGAGTGTTCTCACAGTCCTCAGCCACGTTTTTGCTTTTCCATGAGGATGGTTTTCCACTAGTGGCTTCTTTAATGTATTGGGTTCTGGTTCTTTTTAGTTTTCATCTCAATAGGGAATCCCACTTTCAGTATCTGGAACTGCTCACATCGCTCAGGCAGAGACAGTTTATGAATTCTAATGAGAGCTTATAAACTCTAGTTTGTGTGTGTGTGTGTGTGTGTGTGTGTGTGTGTGTGTGTGTGTGTACACGCACTCCGCTGTGTTTTACTATTTTGAGTTCTGTTGGAGAAATTCTTAACCTTCAGGGGGTTCTGTCAGCAACATAAAGGAGCGAGTAGAGCTCAGGTACCTGGGCACCAATAGAAAAGGCAGAGCTTGTGTTGCACAACACGAGTTGGTCACGAAGGCTGCTCTGCAAACCCGCCTCTCACCATAGAAATGGGGAACACACTGTCAAGCCCTGTGATCCACTAGACAGCTCCTCCCATCCTGACTCTGAGTTATTAATAATTTTATTAAGAATGTGCTTTCAACATGCTGTATTTATACATGTACTTAACAAGAAACCACCAAGACTTCAGAGGGAAGTTCCTCTTCCCTTTCCTTGTATTGCCAGAGAAAGGGAGAAACTGAGAAAACAAGAAAAAACTGCCTTTGACTTGTTGTGGGAGACTTGAGCACCTCAATCCCTTCTTGAGATCTAGCAGGGGCTCCTCGGCCCAGGCTCCGGGGAGTCATTAACACCCTGGCTGTGTTTCATTATGCGTAGCTATCTTGACACTTCTTTCTTCTTTCCCTACTCCCGCTGAAAACCTGTGACTATAATAACAGAGCATAATTATTTCAGCTATTATCAAAATTAGTGTTCCGTTTTGCACCTTGGGCTTAACCACCTTAATGAGTATCTGACAAAAGGTTGTAAGTGTGCCCTGTCTGTTTCTCTATCAGGAGAGAATTACCAGTGCATGTTTGAACATCTGCTAGTGGGGTTTATTTTGGCTGCAGACCTCTATGCAAACTGTTGATCATAAAGAGTTAGTAGTTCCTGAAGCTTCTCATTCAGGTCATTCGAGTTGGTGCCAAAAGAGCTATTTTAACAGGTGACTGAAAGTACTCAGCCGCTCAGTACTCTAATTGAGTGTGATGTGGAGTTTATTTAGAGGTAGAAGAAACTTTTTGTGTGGGATTTTTGTACAAAGGCCTGTTTAAGAAAACTAGGTGGGAGTTGGGGAGGGCGTTGTTTTTTTGAGCTAACAGTCCCTTCTAGGAATAATGCAGATCGAGATAGCTTTTGGAAACAATGCTAGTCACACCATTTGCTCATTTGCCCTGCTTGACCCAAGGAGATCACATCAGCTTACAGTGGCCTTCCCACTTAGCTTCTCAGTCCTCCAGGACACACATGTACCCAGCAGCATGCATGAATGGAGCATTACAACCAGCATGGTGTTGGCCCCTCTTCCCTTGAGGTCTACATACGTCCATTGTCTTCCCCTTAGCCTCATGCACCCACCCCCAGAAGTGGCCAGAAACAGCACAAACAGGAACCGTACTTTCTGGTGAGCAGGTTTGCCTTTTGCTGCTCGGCTCTGGGTTTCCCCAAGGCTCTGGTGGGGAACCTTTTTGGAAAATAAAAATCAAAAAGACCTCTACATTTGCACCAAAGAAATGTCACCTTCTGCTTTGCAAAGGGTGTGCCCTTCGCAACGAGAGGCCCAACTGGTACAGAACTTCCTCAGAACAGGAGTCCCTAGAGAGGCTTGTCATGTGCAGGTCAGATGTTCTGATTCTGCTTGGTCTGTATTGAGCCAAACTGATGTGGTGACTGAGGGAGAGGCAAGGTGTGAGGAGGAGTGTTACTTGACGTGGTGGTGACTTGCATCACTCCGAAAATGAGCTGCATCCCAGCCGTCTGCCTGCTGTCACTACCTGTCTTCCTCGAGTGCCCATGGAGTAAGTTTGGGGAAGGGGCCATGTTTAACAAAAAGGTGGCTGAAGTATTGAACCAGTGAGCAGGCGGGTAGAATGGTCACATGGAGGCAGGCCTAGATAAGTCCAGTTTTATCCTGGTTCTCTGGAATACCTTGGGGAAGTCCTGGAGGAGGCATCCCACACATGTGGGCAACTTCTTCTCAAGATTGGCATGAAAGAAACTCCCTGGAAGGGGTGAGCAGTGCTGAACAGCACCCTGTTTGGTGGCACGGTGCTGCGTCAGAGCCACTCTGCCTGCAGCCTTGCTGGATAGTAGTGTGTTTGTCCAAGAGGCCCCTCCTAATCCCAGAGACATTTCATCTAGATAGCAGAACAGCCAGCCCCATTCAGGTCAGTGTCACTGAGCACTGGTGTGTGGTGGCAGCAGGCATCCAGACTTGTAGGATACATTTTAATGTTACCCCCATTTTTAGATGAAGAACTCAAATGCTAGAGATCTTGAGCATTACCTAGTCACAGAGCTAGAAAGTGGCCAGATGAGGACTGGCATCCAAGCACTCCGTTTGAAATGCCAGTACCACCAGGAAGGCTTGACTAATGAAATGCTCACAACGTTCACCAGCATTGTTTTCTGAAGATGGGTTTCCATTAGATTGGAGGCACTTTGGCTGCCACACACACCTCTGACCAGGCATTTCTGACTAGCCTGGAGGAGCAGGCAGAGAGCGGGGTGAGCTGGGCCCCAAGAGGCCCTTCACAGGAACCCAGAATGGCCCCTGTGTGGAGTGGGTGGCATCGGTGCCTGGCCCCCTAAGCAGATGGTCTTGTGGCCTGCATGTGCCATCATTATTCAGATTGAGGCCTCCAATGTTTGGTGAGAGTTTTACAGAAAGCTTGGGGATTGCTATGATGAGTGTCTTCATTTGAGTTGAATAAGGACAGAGCAGAGGATGCAAGAGTGGACATTGAAGCAACCCGAGACTGGCAGGATGCCTCCCAACCCTTGGGGCTGAGGGGCAGGGCCAGGGAATGGGTTTCCAGAACCCAGTAAGAACAGGTAAGAGCCAGGGTGCCCACACAACAGGGTGGGTCTGTGAGAAGTGTCAGAAAGGCTGGGAGAGCAGGGTACATGGGTTCACCCCATATTCTCCTGTCCTGCCTTTCCTGCACAGACGGACACTGGCCAGCAGGGCAGAATGCACACTGTGGGTTGTGTGGGGTCCAAGCAGGGGAATTGCCTTACAGCCAGCGTCCCTAACCCTCAACTTGGGTGTGGCAGGTAGAGGAAGTATCACTGGCTCCCAAGTATCTGAGTGTCGTCAAGCTGATAATATAAGTTCTCCCAATGCTTTGCCCCAAAAGGTGCTGTCTGGTCACTGGCTTCACCTTTAGAAAGCCTTCTAGAAA